TGGTTCAAATTCTAGGTAGCAGCGGTCTTAGTACACAACCGACATGCTGATTACACAATCCCAGGAAGCGGGTGAGTCTGTTCCAATTTCGGTTGTTAGTTTTAATACTAATGCGTGCATTCTAGATAATCGAGTTTTTATCCAATACAGTGTCGGACAGACACAGGATGAACTTAGGAAGACGATGTACAATTGATTACAGACACTTGAACTTCAACTTAAGCTGTGAAGGATGTGGTATTTGAATGAACTAATGATACCTTCGTACTTGTTAAATGCTTGATTTCGAATTCTAAATACAGTACATTCGTTTGTGATTATCTGGTACTTCTTGATCCGATTACCTTATTTCTGGGATTCTTAGTTCATACTATAATTCAAATACTTATAAATATCACATTTCCTCATACTTTTAAGTAAAAGCATTATTTTTAATAACTTTAAGGTAGTATTATATGAAATTTTATGAGACAAAAATTTGAATAAATCAAAAACAATTATTTTCATAATAAGTCAAGGGATAATAAAAGCTGTTATTGTTATCTTTGGAATGTTTTGAAATATGCTTTCGAATACTAAAATTACCTCAAAAAACAAAATAACCTTTTTGTTATTGGCAAAAGTGCGAAAATTTTCGTTGATAATGATTATTTCATCCCAAACAGGCATAAGTAAATCCTGATACTTTGTATTGACCAGCTTTGTTTTGACCGGCAGTACGTAAGTCGACTGTTCTTCCATAGACCCAGAGACTCTATTGCGTTAGCATAAAAACGTATGTATTTTACTTTTTGTCACATTTTATGTAGTCTTCTGTTTCAGTATCCATAATGTGAATACGAACAAATAAATGACATGTTGAGGAGGCCACTTTGAGCCGATCAGTTCTATAAATAATAATTTCAAGGATTCCATCTTGACTACCAATCCCTTCATTTGTTTCAATACTCTTTTCACAAGAAACTAAATTAAATTTATGGAAATAGCTGTCAAACTTATGTACTTGCTTTTGGACTGTCAGGCTGCTTTTCATTAAACTTTCTCCTTGTAGCCTTTTTGGCACTACGGCGTGAATGAGAACTTTTATGTTAGAAGGCTTTTATTTCAAGGAAACTCACTGTGAACTATTCTCCATTTCTTCCATTTCAAACGATTCATTTTTTATCCCAGACTAGTGAATGCAAGTGACCGTTGAAGCACAACTTACTTTTTGTATGGGCATTTCCTCTTGAATCCTTATGATTTTAGATACGAATTAACATGTCTCCCACGATTTTGTTACACTAGTAACGTGATTCAAAAAATTACCTGCAGATAGGTATACTTTTAGAAATTTTAAACAACATTTGTTTTCTTACTTTTATATCGATGATAAGCTAGTAGTAGTGATCGATTATTTTACTTTCAATTTATTAAGGTAGAGTACGGTGTTGTGGGGTTATATTTCACTTTATAGTGGTTGTTTAATTCGGGATGCTCACCACTGACAGTCTTTAGTTTTAAGGACTAGCTCAGCCGGCAGCGAACCTCATAGATATCGTAGCCATATCCTGAAAAAGGAGGTGTAGGATGCTGCTTTCGCTGTAGATAGCCAGTTTCTTGTTCATAATATCATTAATCTCTTATATCATTCGATTTCAGTTTCAGTTTGGGAAGGACAGGAGGCTCGATGGCCTATGTTAGTCCTGGCAATGGTGGTCTCTCAGTTGATCCAACTTTCTTTTGAAAGAGTCGACGGATGGAGCCTCAACCACGTGCTGAGGTAGTGAATTCCACTCGTTGATGATTCGATGGGAAAGTCGATAGTCAGCTGACAAGTAATTTGTTCTCGGCTTGTGAACTTTTTTGGAGTGTCCTCGTAAATTCTCTGTTTTGGAAGACAAGAAAAATGAGGGCATGTTAGGTGCAAATTTATCACTAAGCAATTTGTAGACTGTAATCAAGTCGCCTCTAGTTCTGCGATATGACAACGGGAAAAGGTTCAGCTTGGCCAGTCGAGATTCATACGGAAGCTTCGCTATTGCGGGAACCAGCTTAGTCGCCGTTCTCTGAACCTTTTCCAGAAGCTCACTGTCTTTTTTAAAGCAGGGGCTAGCCGCCTGTATGCAGTACTCAAGTTTAGGACGAACGAACACTGTATACAAAGTCAAAAACGTCTTAGTGTCGACATGACTAAAAGCCCTACGTATTGACCATAACGTTCTAAAACTTTTGGCGGCTATTGCACGGCAGTGTGCAGTAGTCTTTAAGTCTTGACTAACGATAACTCCTAAGTCATTATATGTCTGGACGACAGGTAGCTCAGTGTTATTCATCGTGTATGTATCTGTGCCTTGATGACCGATATGCATCACAACACACTTGGAAGTATTTATCGGCAACTGCCATGTTTGAGACCATTCAGATAACTTCTTCAGGTCATTTTGAAGTTCTAAGCTATCACTCTTACATCGTATCGTTCTCCATATCTTGACATCGTCAGCATATAGCAAGACCGATGATGATAGGAGACAAGGAAGGTCATTTACATACAAGAGGAATAGCACTGGCCCCAAAACTGTACCCTGGGGCACTCCGCTAAGCACAGTTTCCCAGCTAGATAACTTTGAGTTCACCCTTACTCTTTGTTGACGCCCAACTAAGAAGTCTTTTATCCACATCAATAAATTACCTCCAATCCCGATATGTCTTAACTTATATAACAGCCGGTTGTGCGGAACTTTATCAAAAGCTTTACTGAAATCAATGAAGGCGACGTCTACAGGTAGCTTTTGGTCCTTAAGAGCACACCAGCTTTCACGAGCCACTAATAAGTTAGTGAGACAAGAATAACCTATTCTGAAGCCATGCTGCTTCTCCGAGAGGATCCGGTTTTTATCGAGATACTTAAACAGCTCCTTCCGAATAATCTTTTCTAATATTTTAACAACCACACTAGTTAGGCTAACGGGGCGGTAGTTCTCAGGTTTGTGTTTCGTGCCTGTTTTGAAGACAGGACTTACTATGGCGTTTTTCCAATCTTTCGGTAAGCGACCCTGCGTAACGGATAGGTTAAAGCATGTACTTAAAGGGTTCGCAACGAAGTTAGATAATTCCTTCAGTAGCCTAGGATGTAATTCATCGGGCCCCGTGGATTTACCTATGTCAAGCTTATTTAGCAGACCAAAGACATCGAGTTCTTTAATGGTCACGCTATCCAGTGTATGTATGGGGGGATCTGTATACGCTGACGAGAAGGGTGCTTCTATGGTATACACGTTGCTAAAGTAGTTCGAGAACGCTTGAGCCTTACCAAAGTCGTCCTCCACTAATGATGAAGCAGTACTGTCTCCCCATTTCACTGCACTTCCGCCACTACTGAGTTCTTCCTTGTTTATCTTCTGAGTGTGGTCCTCTAAGAATTCCAAAAGACTAATCGCTTAGCCGTGTCGCATCAAAAACATGTCTGATATTGACCGCACTACTTATCATTGCAATGGTAAGGCTATGAGTGCGTTTGTTTTCTAACTTTGAATGCTCTTAGTACGCCTTGATTGTTCTTACACACACATTTTTAACATCGTATGACTGAAAATATAAACATATTTATAGTGTGATGAGGTAAATTGAGCAAATCATGGTGCATCAGATCGACTACTTTAGTCTTACCAGGCTCAAGAAGCGTTACCGCAAAAACTGATTCATATATAAGGCAAAGCCTACAGTTCTATCAGAGCTATTGGGAATTAGACTATTCTGGGCAGCTTACAAGTTCCTCAAACACCAACGCACGCTTTGACAACGTCTATTTTCACTTCGTAAGAAGCTCAACGTGAATGAATGTATTCTCATGCCATCCAGCATGTGCTTTGAGTTTCTCAAAAAAATTCAAACCGGTATATATAATGGACTTTGCCAATAAAATGGCTTCTCATGACCTTGGTTGATCGGAAATTCATGTTGTCTGGCAAATGTTATATTTGGCTGTTGGCTCTTGTTTGGATCCGGATTATTCCACCCTTATGTAGTGACCAATTTCCAGATCAATGTAATAACTTTCTGCAGACATAAAAATACAACACTTGTAGCCGCATCAAATATTTGTGTCCAGACAGAGCAAAGCACTTTCGTCGCTGCTATGTTTTTTAGCCTTTGTCGATCAATACATATTTAATCGTTTTTTCCAATATGTTTCCATTTTATGGGTCGACCGAAGTTAAAGAGCAGATGGATAAGTAACAATATGAACTTTCTGAAAATCTCTGAAAGACGTTTCGGTTAACAGCGCTGCTATTTTATGAATGTTCCTCTTTGTTTTCTGTGCTCATATTGGTTCTCAACCGCACGATAATTTAGGATGAACATATTATGACTGAGAAGAACTACATTAAAGATGGAGAGAATGCCAAACATGGTGGGTGCGGGTGAACAGAACCGGGACGGCATAACTATACACAACTTCATATACACTGTACTAAATATATTACTTTATCCCCATTCCAAGTGTGTTCTTAATAAGTCCTTAGTGCAACTGCTGGATATCACAATGGGACAAGTCAGTGAAGACAACGATGTGTTTTCTACCTATGATATAATAGATTTGGCAGTCACACCATTGCGTTTTCACAGTTTTCTCCCACTTACTTTTTGAATACGGCCATCTTACGCGTTAAGCAAACCAAGTGCTTATACTTTAAAAAACCATCTTATCTTAGCGCTTTAATTGCCGTTTTGTTATTTTCACGTTGAAACCAACCACCATGCTGCCTTATAATGTGATATCTGCTGGTACCCAGAAGCCTTACTGCTCATGGACAAGTGCACTCACTCAACTACAAAATATACAAATCCTCAACCAACTGCCACACTGACCGATATTAATGCAATAGTGTAGCTAGATTATCAACCGCTGTACATAACCTAATGTCTGAAACCCTACCGAAACAGCAAGAATCGAGGTCGTAGAAATCAGTTAGTTTATACGAGCACTGTGAAAAAGATATTGGATATTGGATATTATAATTACATTCAAACGGTGCGTCTCCTCATATGCGTTCAAAAACAAACGAATGGCTTTTGAAGGAGATATCCAACAGTAAAATTCATACAATTCTGTCAAAACTCGATGGACCAGGCATCGATATATGCTACGTAAATTGTGAGGTAAATATGGTATACACTTATTCATATCACTTTAGGATGACTTGGCCGTTCACAAAGACAAATTAAAAGAATTACGCACCTGTATAAAAAGGGCATTAACGACTACAAGGGTAGTCGGTGGACCTATAATTCTATTGATTGGACCTACGGGTTCTGGCAAAACTACTGCAGTTGAGGTTCTTTCCCGTTCTGTCTTTGGTACAGTTAACGTTGTACAGTTTCTGGATGAAGGAATTGGTCATGATGAGTATACAGAAATCGAAAAGTTTGTTCTATCTTCTGGAGTTTACGGTGGACAATCAGTCATGTCTTCTGAGACTGGAAAGTCACCAGAGTGCACCTCTCCGATGACAGTTATGATCCTAGAAGTTAGTAATTTTAATATTGTGGTTTGGTTTTGATGATCTGATATTTCAGAAATGTGTGGCGTAATCTTTCCTTAAATCAGCACCGTCTCCGCCGTTCAACTCTATCCGTCCACAAGTCTTTATTTTTAACTTCTTATCTTCTGTCTCCTACAATCATTTTATAGCTCCTTGTTTAATCCACTTGTATTACCACCTTTTTATCCGTATTTTGTGCCTATGAATTCTCGCAGTAGATTTGGTATCCAATTATCTTGTTTTTCACAAATACGAAGGACCGACATTTTCAGTTAAGGTGATTGTTCGGCTAATAATTTCCATCTGCTCATGATTGTATCGCATCTGTTTTGAAACTATGCAAGTACATAGTGCTGTCAGATAATATGTTACCTTCTAAAGGATTAATGAATAGTTTCATCTGTGCATTTGGTCTATGGCTAAAGCAGTTAACGCAACAAGCAAAGCTTGGTTTCAGCTATTAAAGCCAATTATTGCTTTTTCTGGACTACTGCTTTGATCAATAAGACTTTTAAGTTAATTCTCTACAGTATAACAATTCATCATAAACATTTAGACTTAGTACGTATTCATTTAGTGTCATTCGTAAAAACAATTCGACTGATCGTGACGTCCAGTTTTTTTTAAGATGTTCATGGGTCCTCAATCTAACAGTACACTTCTTTTTGCTTTTAGAATCTTCCTACTGTTGTTAGTGAACATCCTTCGCGCTTTCATAACCTCCTTCGTCTTCACAGTACGCGTGCGTGTGTAAATTGCTTATTGGTTCTTATTTTGTCCTCTTCTACGTTCACCGAAAACGATTTGTGTGAAAGGATTATTTGTCCTCCTACCTTATGTAGTGAATTACTTATACAGCGCATAGAATTCAATCCCGTTGCACCAACTCTCGTAGTCAAGGCATTAAGTAGAATTGGGAATATTTTGGCTAAACAGGTGAGCTATATATATATATATATATAATGTATTTATGACCAAAACGTTCCGTTCAGATGTACGGTAGCTACCCTTGCTATCATAAGTACCTGGGGAGTCTGGCAGTAATGTTATTCGACTAAAAAAAGAAACTGTCCTAAGTAATGGTAGGCGAATATTAGTTCATATACTTGATTTTTAGCTACGTGTCATTGTATAAGGACCTGACTGTTTAAAACTAAGTAAATGGAGCACGATTCGATCCTACAACTTTATGATCAGCGGTCAAATGTTTTAATCAATATGCCACTTACATCTGCACCAATCGTTATCCATCGTACTTAGTGTTTTTCTTAGTGAATAGTCATCCATTTAACTTTGGAACTATCGAAATCCTCACTTAATACCCCCAAAATATTTGTGAATTGAAGCAGAACTATGAAATTCACAATTTCTAGGATAAACAAGGTTTACCGCTGAAAAATAATAGTTTTATGAGACTGTAAACCTGGATTATTTAAGCTGATTTGTGTATTGTATTTATTTATCTAAACATAAACGTGACACCAAATGTTTATGCACCACACTCCACCACTCGACTTGTGTGAGGCTGGGATACTGCCCAGACACCTAGACCGAAGCCGGAGCTCTTTTAGGGGGCCACTTCTAGAGCCTTTGATCTAGAGATTTAATGCACAAGGCAGTGGAGCAACGTTAGGAGATGTAGTCCCATGATAGCCGGTCACCAACAATTGATCCATACGCTATTTTCCCCTCAGGATCCTGCACTTAATGTGCACTATTGGTTTGAAATCAGGGTTTTCAACTCCCGTAGTTGGATTTTCCATATTCACTAACCCGATAAAGTGCCGGATATTCGCTTTTCGTCCCCTCAACTTCGTAAACAACACCCCAGCGGCGAGAAGGTAGAGTAGGATTTCCCCGGCAGTTACTGTATGTGTTTGGCCATGTGAAGGCATTTCGAGAGAGAGGGCGGACTCTCCCATCCTCAACTGTATCAGGGCATTTGGGGGCTGTGTATTTTATATCTCGTTTTAGTATCTGATTTTCATTAGTTATGTTCTATCAGGCTGTTTGGTGACTTGAATCAACTTACCTTTTAGTTAGCTCCTGCTATGTTCTGTCTGCTACTTTACTTCCATCCAGCGGTCAAGCATATTATCTATCTACTGTTTCGCCCCCAAATGTCTCGGTACGGCCGGGGGTGGGGCGAGTCAACTCTCCCTTTCGAAACGCTCTCACATGGTCACGCGTATACGGCCACTGCTAGGGAAGGCCTACTCACTGCCTTCTCGCCACGGTGGTGTTTACGAAATTGAGAAGACGGGAAGCGAGTGTCTGGCACTTCAACCGGGTTGGTGGATATGAAGGACCCACCTATGGGAGTTGGAAAACCCTAATTCCAAACCAATGGTGCACGTGGACTTCAGGATCCTAAGGAAGCAAATGGCGTATGGACCAGTTGTCGGTCACCGACTATCATGGGACTGCATTTCCTGACTTTGCTTAATTGTCTTGTGGATCAGCCCTTTAGGTCGAATGCTTTGGGTGTGGTCCCCTAAAGAAACCACCTGCTTCGGTCTGGGGACCCGGGCGGTATCACAGCCCACTCACAAATCAAGTGACTTGTGTGGCGCATATGTATTCAAAATTGACGGTGGCTTTTTCATTTCGTGCTCCTAAACTGAAGACTGGAATTTGTAGACGATCACTGGCATTCGTAGGGGGTTTATTAGAATGTTTAAGGTTGATAAGAATTCAGGATTTTTAGAAATTTATGGAAGACAATAAAAACATTTGGGCACCAATTAAAGCTATCTGTTTCTCGCCATCTATAAACAGGTCTCTTAATAATGGGCTTTTTTAAGGAGTTCTCGACCGTCAGGAACCATGCTAAATGCTAAAAATTGAGTGAAAGAGTTATCTCATATCGACCGAGGTTTCTCTTTGACATAATGAATGCTTAGGGTCCTATTGACCACCTGAATCTGATTGTCAGTCTAGAGCGTCATGCTGTAGTGTAATAAGGATGGCTTGCACCTGTGACGTTCTACTTCCTTGATGTTTCTGGCCAAAATTTCAAGTGAACGCTGACTGGATGAAATGGTTGTTAGTGTTTTCTAATCCTTGCTTGTCTTTTGCGGTAAATTTTCTGGATCACCTCAACAGACGTGTGAATTAGTTAGTTGCCGCTTGAAATGCAAGAGACAAGAGTTGCTGATTGGTTTGGGCTATCATATTCCAAGCTGTGAGGTAAATGAGGTCCTGCTAATAGTCTCAACACTTGGTCACAAAGTGGTCGTAGGGGACTTTAATGCACCTATGATAGACTGGGAAAATCTGCGATCTGAATCGTCAGATAATTCCTTCGAGCAGGAAATAGTTGATGTGGTTATCACATGTGCGCTAGTGCAACAATTGAAAGAAACGTCTAGGTACGACGCGGACATTTAATCATCCTTACTAGATCTTATATTGACTCACTATGAAGACGACGTTACGAACCTCTATTACATGCCACTTCTAGGTAAAAGTGATCACGCAGTTTTAACTTTCGACTTCCATATAACTGTCAATCACGAGCACGCATCAAATAAATAATTAAATCTGGTGTTTCTAATGATTTTTGAACATAGTTATGTTCAAACTGAAAAGTAGATATGTTCTATGTGTGTATTTCAGAACTTGTGATAACTTTTTACGGGTTATTCAATTGTTAAATTGAATACTGATTAGAGTATAGAGATGTGTTTTTAGCTTACTCACCTTTCAACACACTTCTACTTCCGTTAATCACATTACAGTTTTCGATAATCTAGCAGTAAAATTTGATTCATTTGCGATTCCTTGTAAACGTTAGCCAAGATTTTAAATCACAAAGTCAAGCAAAAAGTTGTCTGAAAAGTAGCGTCATTATTTTAAATTTAAACCGCCATTTTTTCAATCTTTTAATGATAGGTTTAAGAGTTGGAGTTTTAAATTAAAAATGAATTCCATTAGGTTGTAACAGAATTTAGTAGTGATACTTACCTAAGTCTGTTAAAACAACTCGAAATTACTATCATCCCATTCATCATGTTAAATGATCTAGTCAATTTTACCAAATGGTAAGTCAAAATGAAAGCTAAATTGACTGCTTCTGTCTGCATACATAAAATAATTGTATAGACATTTTTATAGTCTAATTATTGAAACCGAAGTGAATAGTGTTTTATTGTTAAAAAGTTTCGATCAGTTGATATAATTATATATGTCACTTCCGTGGCAACAATATGTCTTATTCTGATCAATACCTTTACTCAACCCTCTTTTATGTCAACTACCAGAGTACTCTGAGTTAAAGTTTGAACGATAGTGTTTTGTACATATATGCGTTATACATATAGCAAATGTCAAATCTTTTTGTGTCTCATAATCTTTGTCTCTAGTAAATTTTAAAAAAATCTAGAACAGTTAAAATATTATCGTAATTCCACTTCCTAACTTGGTTATAAGCTTTAAAAAAATTGTTTGCAGCCAATGTATGTTTATGGAGTAAAATGAATTGGTACTAATTTGTACGATTTGTTGTTTTGGTTCTACATAAACTGGTACTTCGTTATTTTCCACCATGAACATACAGATTCATTTTACACATTGCTTTGTAAATAAATCATCTTATGTTCGGTTTCTTTTAATAGCTTGGTTTAAAACTACCATCTCGTCAATTACTGCAATCTATAGCGAATGACTGTTCTGGGGATATTCGATCTGCTGTTAATCAGCTTCATTTTCAGCTTACTTCAGGTACATTTATCACGAACTGTAACATGGTTTTGGTTTCCACACATTTGTATCATATACTCTTTGGCATCTGAAGCAGTGAAGATGCTGATTTTTATTCTTTGTGTACATGACCGTATAGAAAATATCTTTCTTTGTTAAAATCTTTCGATTAATATTAAAGTAAAACGAATGTCCAGTTTATAAAAATACATTCTTTATGAATTGTGAGAAATTATTCTTATATTAATATATTTAGTTGTGTATAACGAGACTTACAGTTTGAATTGCCAAAATAGCAATTAAGGCAGAGTAATATGAATTCATTTAATTTCGTGATAAGCAGATGAAGCGAACCCACAAAATAAAATGAATTCATAATATTCTGCCTCAACGATTGTATTTGCTATATTCACAAAGGGAATCAACCAATCATATGAAACTTAAGTTGTTTGGAATGTTTTCACAATATTTTCAGTCACAATTTTTTCTGTTTGACTACTTCTGCAACAGTCATGGAATTCCTTTAATGTACAATAGCAAGAATGAAAATGTTTTCCAGTCTGAATTCATTTACATATCATTTGTGAATAGAATAACTGCCAAGCTGCTTTTCAATCTCATTCAGAATCGTTCACAATGATGCGCGTGCATTCACTCTTTGTCGCCCATCATCATAAGTCGTTAAATTACCCGACAACTTTATCTAACTGTTCTAACGAAGTATTGCAACTTGGACTGATACATACATGTGCCAGGTTCTGCGTTTGGTTTCATAGACTCTCTCGTTGGTCTGTCAAAAGCATTTTTCATTATTCATACCATTTAATCTTTATAATCATGATGCCAACTTTTGATACGTTTGTTACTGATAAAGTTGTCAGTGAAGCAACATATTCCAATTTAAAATCATTTTTTAGTGTAGTATAGTTATTTGTATTTTATTTAAGTCTTATCTGGAATATACATTTGATAAAAGCTTTTATTTGTTTCTTAATTAAACGTAGCTTCTGTAAAACGGTTAAGAAGCCGTATCTATCTCATTCGTAGTAAAAATATTTTAATAATAGTAAAAATATTTGGTCAGTTAGTGTTTAATTCGTAAATTAGTGAAACTGAAGTATTCAGTGTTCGATATCTTGTATAATTATGTTAACTTTTGAGTGTTTTTCTTAACTGTTATGTAATTAAATTTTCCATATGTATAGTTTTACAGTTAATATAATATTGCTTGAGTGTGTGCTTATGGAGGTTTGTTGAGTCAAATGATTTTCATCAACTTGTATACCAAAAGAATATTAAGCAACCAAGGTTAGGTACATATACATGAATTTTCAGTTACTTTTAATTTAGGTTAGTGTGTTACCACCTGGGAATGTTTTTTATTAAGTTATCATCCCACCAAAGTCATTAATAATCGACTATTGGAGTTTTCAACTATATGAGGTTGTCTGTAATCGTGAAACATAAAAGTTAGGTTCCTAGTTGTATGGATTCTTACAGATAGATAGTAAGTACAAAACTAGGAGCAACATGACTGTTCAATATTTTCAGGTAGTATATTGTTTTCCATGGGATGAAAGCTATTTTAAAATAATATCGTTTCCTTATTCTTGACGAATAAATATACCTCGAATTTATGTAAAGTGAGGAAGAATTATTAATAATCATTGGGAAAGCTGTTTGTGAAGGCGTTCTGTTTTTCCCAATTATGTACTTTTGGATGCAGCTTATGTTACGGATCAAGTTTTATTAAACAATCATCGAAAACTATAGATCAGTGAATAACTGTTTTATTATAGTTTATAAATTCTATGCAATACTAATGGGGCTAGTTTTGACCTACTTTTATTTTTTGTTACAGAGAGAGGAAATTGGAATAATTCTACACTGCCACATTCTCATCGAGATGGAGTTTTATCACTATTTCGTACTATAGGTAAAATTCTCTATTGCAAAAGTAAGTTAAAATAAACTTTTATATAGTCCATTTTTGTATTGCTGGTTTGAATCTTCCCATAGATGTTTAGGACTGTGATTGTTTAGCAGGTATATCCAGCTGACTAGTCTTAAACAGGACGAAATGCGCGTCCTGGATTGCACAGCTAGCCACCATCTATCTCTGCCTATAATCCTTTTATTATTTTTTTCAACAGCAAGAAAGAAACTGATTTTTGTAAAGAACTTTATCATACTTAATAATTGGAAGTGTTTTTTTCTAAAAAAGTTATTATATTTTACAGTTTTACTGGTACTTGAATAATTCGAATAATCTACATAAAAAAGTATAATTTTAATGGATGTAAATTCTTAGTGTGTTTCATTTATTCATGTATTGTTTTGTTGTTTGTTCAACTACAATAAATGTAGTTTGCGAGCGTTTTCTATATATTTTGTGCTAATAAATGGATTGATCCAGTGTAGACTTAATTGAAATTGGCAATATATATAAACGTAGAAGTGATTTTCGTAAGTAAAAAAATGACCGTAGTAGTAGTTACATTATACATAATGTTTTCCATGATTAAATGAATTTTCTCATTTGCCAAATCTTTTCATTTTATCGCAAGTGTTCTTAAATTCGTAGTTTGATTTTGCTTTCACACGAAAATTACATCAATGTGGTACAAAGTATTAATATCAGTGTATATGTGCGAATTTCAATGCATTTCAACTTTTATACTAGCTAATTGGTTTAATGTTTACAGATTTATTTCTTTATTTCTGTCATTTCGTGATTTTGTTTTAGCTTTCCATAACGGGTGTTAAAGTTTTTTTCGTACTGCCCCACTTTTCTTTCTTTGTGTTAATGCTAAGTGTATCAATGTGAACCGATGGACGTTTGCGTCATGGTGAATTATATGTAGGATTGATTTCTAATAGGCAATGAAACTGTCATGTTAACTTCCATAATAAAATTGTTTTTTCCGAGTTTTATTCAGAGTTAAAACCAATTAAAACAGTCTCAGTTTAAATATAATAATAATTAATTCTAAATCAACATAATAGAAAATATTGTAACATGATAAAACCAATGAAAAGTATTGTAAGTGCAAAAAAAAATATTGAAACTACAAATCAGGCAAATATAGCAATTCGTGTAATAGTTTCAGTTATCATTTTCTGAAAGAGATATAATAGATGGAGAATAAATACGTGAAAGTAATAAAGGAAGAGAAATGATTTCAAATACAATCGCAAGTTAAACATGGAAAATATGGTTAAAAAGTAGCAAAAAAACATCGGTTAATGTAGAACTACTTGATTAACAACTGTGAGATGTGTAAAACATTTTTATCTTGTAACCGAATTTCGTCTTGATTAAAACATAACGAATTATTTCACACTTATTCCTAATTACTGTGTTGTTCCAATTTCTTTCATGATGTTGTAGTGATTTTTCTCTTTACCGGTTTTCTTTTGCCAGGAAAGCCAATAAACAATGAACAAATTGTATCAAGCTTGGATAAAAAGGAAGGTAAATTACCATCACATTTAGTAACATGGAGGCGACCTCCACTTGAATTTGATCTTGAGGTAATCACCTACTTATTAGCACATTTGACTGTTAGTTCACAATTAAGTTTCCATAGTATGAGCAGATTAACTATCCTGTTTTAACATATTAGTATAATTTCATTGAAATCATGAGCCGATCTAAGTTAGACCACCATTAAAAACATGTAAACACTGAACGGCCGTTTCATTCTAGAATGGGACTATTCAGCAGTGCTCATCCACAAGTTCGCATCCAAAAATCAAACTCAGGATCTTTGATCTCACGCCCGAACGATTAACCTCCAGACCATTGAGTCGGCATTCGACGCTGTTATTGTCTAATTTCAATCAATCTACGATATTGCGTGACAATTTTCGATAGTTTGCCTTACACCCGATAAGGATTAACTCTACTGATCAGGGCTTCTCACTAGGACTCTGGAAATTCCTTTTTGAGGCTAGTTATTAATGAACAAATGATAATTATTGGTAAGGAGTTGTAGAGATTGCATAGTTTCGTTGAAACTATGTATCCAATTACTTAATCGATTTTTAAAATTGTCTAATGGTCTTCAAGGTATTTTTTGTTGTTGTCATAAGTAATAAATCAAGATATACCATTGATGATAATCAACGAAATCATTTGATGTTCAACGCAGCCATGTTGGAAGGTGCGAGCTTTTTAGTTTGAGCTTTCGAGATAATAATAAATTGTAGTTAAAAATTATCCCGATCGAAGCTGCTACCTTGACGCGGTGGTCGGGCTTGCCTATCGTGATGACCCAACCGAGCTATATTGGCTGGAACATATGTTCCTGTAGGTTCTACCATGCCAGGCAGGTCGATTGGTGAACGGTAAGACTAAAAGCAGCAACTCAAGGTCTGAGGGCGAAGTCGTACTGCTGACTGTAGAGGGGTGTGACAGCAGTAAGGTGTTTCCCTCGGACAACCAGCATGACAGCGATGCTGCCTTCCCACAAGGAGGGGTGGGGTTAGAAAAGGTCGACCCTAAAAATGTCACACCTCACCTTACCTCACGGATTTCCGTCTCCGGCGGTAAGGCCCTTTGAAGAACGGAGCTAACACGTCAAAAACCTTCCACAAAAAGGCCGTGCGCGACCGGCCTCAAGCAGTTGTCCCTTGGGCTCTGCGGTCACGCTCCCAGGTCGTCAAGACCAACACTAATCCAATTTCCTTTTCAGGTTCCTCAAGAAATACCCTTCCACGGTGTGGGCAGCCGGGAAGTGACATCAGCCCTCATACCCGTAACAGCACAAGAGACCAAGGTGGTCACATTCAAATCCTTCCTACACCTCCTAATACCTCTCTTATCTCCATGACTAACCCTCCTCACGTCTCTTTATCACCTCGCACCGCTAGGGCAAACGATTCGAGTACGTGGAACGCCATTCCTGGTCTCCTGAAACCACGCTCTAAACTACACGTAGGAGCTTTTAACGTACGAACACTTTGCCAAATAGGACAGCAGGCTTCCTTAGCTAAAACTTTAGAATCTCGCGCCATCGATGTGTGCTGCGTCTCCGAAACGCGCATACAGGATCCAAGTAGCGTCATTCATTTGACCTCACCATGCCAAAATAAAGAACCGACTCGATTTACGCTTCGTGTATCTGGAAGCCCTGATTCTGCTTCCCGTGGCCTCGCCGGCGTAGGTATAGCATTGAGTCCTAGGGCAGAACTAGCTCTCTTAGAGTGGATCCCAGTAGACAGTCGTTTGTGCGCTGTCCGACTGAACGGAACAGTAAGAATCCGGAAAGATAGGGACACTCGTCGTTGCCTCTTCGTCGTCTCTGCCTATTCTCCCACTGACTGCAGCTCAGATGATGTAAAAGATGAGTTTTACAGAAAGCTTTCGGACCTTCTCCGAAAAGCTAAGCGCTCGGATGTAGTAATAGTGGCCGGTGACTTTAATGCTCAAGTAGGTAAACTAAGCGATAGGGAAAGACACCTAGGTGGATCTTATGGTGTCGTGGCTCAAAGAACAGATAATGGCGACCGTCTGTTGCAGCTATGCTCAGATAACCGCCTGTTCCTTGCAAATACTAACTTTAAGCATAAGGAAAAACATCTTTTAACATGGCGACCCCCTAATTCGTCCCAACGTTGGACCCAAATAGATCACATCGCTATCAGCCACCGATGGAGGGGCTCGATAGAAGACTGTCGCTCATTCTGGAGCACATGCCTAGATTCAGATCATGCTCTAGTGCGAGCGCGTATTTGCTTGCGTCTTACTGGACGTAGGAAAGACGCTGCAAGGAAACCTCTTAGGGCCTACTTAATGATAGTCAAGCTAAGAGTATATTTCAGGAACAACTAGGAAAACAGTTAGGCAGCCATGTATGTGATGCCCACCCCGATGCAGCATGGAATGATATCCGAAAAGCTGTGGAAACAGCAGTGATATCTGCTAGTAAGGTAAACCAGAAGGTTAGGGAGCAACACTGGATCTCAGCAGCATCTATCGCACTGATAGATGCTCGGAAACTCATTCCACCTGGCTCTGAACATAATGAAGAGCGGAGTCAGCTTAAGCGCAAGCTGACAAGAAGTCTACGCAATGATCGCGAACAGTGGTGGGTAGCGAAAGCAAGAGAGATGGAAAAGGCAGCGGCAATAGGTAATAGCAGACAATTGTTCAGACTCGTTAAGGAAACCGGAATTAGGAACCCGACCGTTAGCGAAACAATCTCAGAGAAAGATGGACATATTATTCATTCTCAATCCAGGAGATTGGATCGATGGGCAGAACACTTTAGGGATCAGTTCAACTGGCCTTCAGCCACACTTCGGTTTCCCACGATCTCCAGTCAACCTGAATGGCAAGTTAATGTAGGTCCTCCGTCCCTTTACGAAGTTGAAAAAGCCATAGGAAATCTGAAACGAGGGAGAGCAGCAGGCCCTGACAGGTTTACTCCTGAGATTTTTAAGGATGGTGGTCCAGTATTAGCAATGAGATTAACTGAGGTCTTAGGTAGAATTTGGGAACTGGACGTAATCCCATCTGACTGGTCTCAATCACTGATTGTGCCAGTCTATAAGAAAGGACAAAAGTCCTCTTGTGACAATCACAGAGGAATCAGTTTGACTAATATAGTGTCTAAAATATTAGCTTCAATAATACTTCGACGCCTAATCAAAGCTCGTGAAGAGCAGATTAGAGAAAACCAGGCTGGTTTTCGACCTGGACGTGGTTGTATAGATCAGATATTCACACTACGTCAGGTTCTAGAACACAGACACACATTCAGACGCCCCACAATGGTAGTATTTCTCGACCTTAAGGCGGCATTCGACTCTGTTGATCGTGAGGTTCTATGGCAGTGTTTGTCACTGAAAGGAGTACCAAAGAAGTACATTAACCTTATAAAGGCTCTCTACTCGAACACAACTGGTAGAGTGAGAGCTTATGGCGAACTGTCATCAGAATTGATTACCTCAAGTGGTGTTCGTCAGGGCTGTCCACTCTCCCCATTCTTGTTCAACTTTGTGGTCGACGTACTTTTAGAGATAACACTCTCCTCATCTAAATTTCCAGGGGTTGAACTTCTACCGGGAGGTTCACTTGTTGACTTAGAATATGCTGATGACATAGTTTTATTTGGTGAAGACGCTGACAAAATGCAGAGTCTTCTGACCACTCTAAGCAACAATGCAAGCATGTTCGGGATGCGATTCTCTCCCTCGAAATGCAAAATGTTGCTTCAGGATTGGGTTACATCGACACCCGAACTAGTGATAGGGAGTGAAGTAGTTGAGTGTGTCGACCGCTTCACTTATCTTGGAAGTCTCATCAGCCCTTGTGGTTTGGTGTGTGACGAAATCTCAGCACGGATACAGAAGGCTCGACTAGCTTTTGCCAACTTGCGTCATTTATGGCGTAGGCGAGATATCCGTCTATCAACCAAAGGACGTGTTTACTGCGCAGCAGTTCGTTCCGTCCTACTTTATGGCAGTGAAACATGGCCGGTAAGAGTAGAGGATATTCGTAGGTTACTAGTATTTGATCATAGGTGTCTTCGAAACATTGCTCGTATATCATGGGACCATCGAGTAAGTAATGCAGTTGTTAGGAAACGGGTACTAGGTAAGGATGGCAAATCAATTGATGAAGTAGTGAAACTTCATCAGTTGAGATGGCTGGGACACGTGTTACGTATGCCCAACGACCGACTGCCTCGACGTGCTATGTTCAGTGGTATAGGAGTAGGTTGGAAGAAAGCTAGGGGCGGCCAAACCAAAACATGGCACAAGTCCATGAAGTCACTGACAAGTGAACTGAGTCATGTTGGTAGGTGTAGACTACCTGGTTGGGGACCGCGAGATGATAGCAACCGATGGTTAGAGACCCTGAATGACATGGCTCAAAATCGTTTGCAATGGCGCAGGTGCATCCACTCTCTGTGTTCTCCCAAATTCTAATCTTCTGAATCCTTCATGTCCCTTTTTTCCTCTTTCCAAATTTATTTCACTGGATTATACTCTTTAAATAACATCTCCAAACCCTAATCTTCCCGATTACTGCTTATACTCTTATTACCTCTACCACTACGGGATTTGAATCGACAACTGCATCTCTGTGCTAATGTGGTGTGGCAACTCGAACTGATGTACGTACGTACGAAGTTCTACGTTGTTACTGACTGACTGACTGAGTTAAAAATTATAGATGGGATTGGCACAAATGTGATTTCTCTACTTTTTCCCGTATATCTTAAGCTCACTAGTATTATTTCATACTAGTTATCTCTCGATGTTATTTGTTCCTTTCGAACTACACTTTGTTTATCAGATACTCTAAGTTAGGTCATAAATTTGTTTTACAGTATATGGAGCAAATAATTCCTCTTTCCTTCAAAATGCTCCCTATCTGTGGCAGTGTATGTGTTTCATCTCTGTTTCCATTGGTTAAAATATCTCTTCAATTCCTCAAAAGTCAGGATCTTAAGCTAACTAATTGTTTAACAATTTATCGTTGCCACAGAAAAATTTTACATTCTGTGAATGAAAACAAATTTCGTGAGGTTGACTTTCGTATGTGGGATAGCTAGTTGATCTGGTATTCTAACGATCTCTGCTGATGTCCATGCATTCTGTCACCTATTTATCGAATAAGCCATGTATCTATGGTGTAGCTTTTGGTGATTATTGATTCGACTTACGCTCATCTTGTTAGTTCCACCTCCTGGTGTTCTGACGAAAAATATAAAAAATTAGTGGGTTACAACACTATACTAGATTGTAAGTTACTTATGGTTGGCTAAGGAAACATGCAAGCCCATACATTCGGCTTCATTTGAAATATTGTTCAATCTAGGAGCTAAACAGAAGCACAAAGTGTATGATACACTGGCAGTATGTTTTTGACAAATGGTGGATAATAAGGTGATGCAACCAAAATAGCTATCCCTAAAACTACCGTAGTGTGACGACAAGATATCAGATAATTTATAGGTGCTTTTTACATTTATGTTACAAGTCTCACGTATGAGCATAATCCAATTCAGTGTATACAGAATTTTTCTCATAGGGTTTTAAAAACTTTTAAATAATTAAGTAAATGCTCTTATCCAAGTGCTATTTCAGTTGGTATTTGTTTGGACGTGAAAATTGCCGTGATCTACTGATGATCTTCGGTACGAATTTAGAGTGCATATTATCATTCGATACTTTTTTTCTAGTTGTGATGCTGACCGATTTTATTTGTGGTAACATTTTCTCAAATAATATACTCCAAGCAATCCTGCTTTAGTAAAAACGACTATTACTGTGGAAATCGTATGCTATCAAATGCCTCGTGTATGTTGTCAGTGTTTCGAAACTGTAGGATATATATATATATATATATATATATATAAAAATTTAACTCAATTCTGTCTATATTATGTTTCGTAGTGTTGTTCTTGTCCTAGGAGATACTGGATTTATGTCATACAGACGGTGGACACATTGTCTCATGGCTTCATGAAAACTATCCTGACTTCTCCCCAAATATGACTGCATTAGAACTTGTTTCACAACAGTTTAGTTGGGCTGATGCATTTTTAACTGGTGGAATGAATTGGCAACTTGGGTTAACACCAGCTTCAGATTCTTTTGTTTCGCGAAAATTTAAGCGACCATATAACATTGCAAGTAAATACTATCCAGCTTTGACTACAGCACGAACAATTCTTCTAGCCGATGGAGTTGAAGATATATCAGGTAGTGATTTTACTAGAAATATCAAAGCATTTCGTTCTTTCCGTCCACCTTCAACTATAAATAGCTGGAAATTATGCAAACAAAAACTTGATACGTTAGATGACATTTTCCTAACTTCTAATTCGTTATCACCGATTTGGCTAGTTGAACATATGATTGCAAGTCGTATTGATATGGTTTTGGATTATTTACCTATCATGTGGAAAGTCCTTGGAGAAGAATGGTTTTCTCAATTCAGTAAGCTTGTTTTAACTACTGTTACTGTATCTGCTATCCGGATACCGTTTTTTGGATGTAAACCACTTTATCATTATGATGTTATTAAATTATGTGCAACTCAGCTTAAAGTGACTGTAAATCATTCTAAGACCGTCATATAACTAGACTCCAGATCCTTCTGGTTTTTGTTCTCTGGCTGTCCTCCCTTTCCACCATTTAATGTGTTTTCAATTGTTGGCTAATCCATTCGGCCTGGTCTTTACCTTGGGGCACCCCAGCAGCTTAAGTTAAATTTTATCTATGACTTCTGACAGAGCCCCCAACTTTTGTAATCTTAGTTGTATTCCTTCCGTTGTTACACTTTCCTTAAAACTTACCGGTTCCAGCTACGATCACATTCCTCGATAGTTTGGTGACCGTTTCTTGAAACTACTAGAGAATCATTTCACTTACTGGAAACGGTTATATCACTGGGCAAGTGTATTTCTTAATCTATCCATACGAGATGCGGTCTGTTCCCATCTGTATGACGAGACAAAGAAGTTACAGTATATCTCAGGTTGTTGACTGTTTGACTTCTGAGAACATTCCCAGTAATATCTTTAACGTTATGTTTGTCTGTTCAACGAAACCATTACATTTAGAATATTATATTATTCTTATTTTCTTTAGTCTTAGTAATTGGGACGATTCCCTTGTTGATACGTTTCTAAATTCTTATCCTTGGTTTAAATATAACTGTCGTGACATCTCTTATTGGGTAATCTAGTAATCAAGTAAATCCCTTGTCACCAAGCCTTGTCGAGTATTGTGAATTAGTCTACCATGACTAGTGTACGCTTGTTTCCTGTGTAGCTTCTCATGGTGGTCGAACGAGCTGTTAATTTTACAAGTAATCAGGTCAATTGGCTATGATGGTGCTGTATAGATCTAACTACCCAGTTTTTAATTCGCTTGTAGTACTGTTATTGTGGGTAATTCTCAGTAAAGTTGCATATAACTGGTTTTTTCTTTCCTATTCAGATCTATGGGCGCTTGCATTTAGTTTGTTATAGGTCAGCTCACACAGATGCGTTATGTACTATCTATTACAATTTGATAGATTTACTGCGCTCAAAACTCCCCGGCTTTTTTTTATCAGTTGACGAGTTCAGTATTTATTTATTTATTTCAACACATAGATATTGGTACAAAGAGGCACCAGATACATATGCGCCACACAAATCAAATGAGATTTGTGTGAGGGCTGTGATACTGCCCAGGTGCCCAAACCGAAGCAGGTGGTTTTCTTAGGGGGCCACACCCGGAGGCTCCGACCTGGAGATCTGATCCACAAGGCAGTGGAGCAATGTCAGGAGATGCAGTCCCATTGAAGCTGGAGACCAACGATTGTTTCATACACCATTTGTTCCCTCAAGATACTGGAGCCCATGTGCACTATTGGTTTGGAATCAGGGTTTTGCAACTCCCCTAGATAGACTCTCCATGTCCACCAACCCGGTTAAAGCCCCGGACATTCGCTTTCGTCCTCTCATTTCGTAAACAACAGTAATGCCACGAAAAGGCAGTGAGTAAGATTTCCCTAGCAAACGCTATATACGTGTGGCCATGTGAGAGCATTCTTCGAGGGAGAGCGGACTCTCCCCACTCTCGACCGTACCAGGGCATTTAGGGGCTGACGAGTTCAGTGTTGTATTTGAATCTTTTAAAACTTCGTGCTTTGAATACATTATCAAGCATATAGGTTTTAACTTCTTACTAGATATCTCAGACGTTTTACTATCAATGAAACGAAACATTGAAAGAGTCAGAAATTGAAAAATCAAGTCTTAATTTTGTATTGTTAGCTTATTACTGATTCTGAATGGAAGTGTACTTAGTTGTATTGAACAGATGATACAATTTAAATTATGCGTTATATAGTAATCAAGCTAATGTAAACACATAGTTTACTACAGTATTTCTTAACTTCGACTAATCCACGAAATTGTGTGACACATCCATCATTGTCATCAATGAGTTACTATCTCACAACAGACCTGGTTTAAATCCATTGGTCACTGCTTCTCACTAGAACTCCAGGAAATACTTCTTGAAGCCAGTCACTAATGAGCATATGTTGATTCATATCAAAAGGGGTTTTGTGGATATTATAGTAATTTTAATCATCACTTAATTGAACATTTAACATTCTGTGATCGATATCAATTATCTAGTGTTATTTGATTGATATTATCATGTTCGAATAACTATTCACTGTTTGTTTTTCTAAGAAATTTTTCATTGCCTTAATACTTAATCTGTTTTGTTTTATTTCTTCAATGTATTATTATTATTATTATTTTAGGCAGTTATGAAATGATAGCATCATTGTGTAATTTTTCTCATAAAGCAGTTGGATATAATTCGTCTTCATCTACTTCAAGTAATTCATATAATATTAACAAGTATCATGTTAATAATAATAATAATAATAAGTTTAATTGTAATGATGAAAATATTGATTGGTATTGTCCACCAGATGCTCTTAACGAAGGGAATAACTATGATATTAATGAAATTTTTTCAGATGAAGAAAATATCGGAGTAGTATGAATATGTATATAAGGACCTGGTACTCTTTCAGCATTTATACTATGTATAATTATTAACTTTCTTGTATGCATTTATCCCAATTTTATAACATTTTTGTATTGAAAGATTATTATTGTTGTTTACTTTTTTTTCTATTGTACTATTTTTCATGCAAATTACTTTATAGAGATTTCTTATTTTAACTCTTATTTGAAAATGAAATTCATTCCATTGGTTTATAAAATCTTTTTTAGTTCCTTTTTTGTTATCATCTTCTGTTACTAATGCATAGTGTTCATCAACTAAATAAGTATACATTTAGAAACTTGGTTATAAGTTAAACAATTGATGTACTATCTAAATGTCAAAAAAGAAAGTCGAAGCTGTTTGATTGATAAGTATTCAAACTTGTAATTTATTGGTCGGAAATTGTTTACTTAAAACGATAAATAACAGGTTTACTTACTGGTCAGATTAATAAATCCATTTTGCTTTAGTACATATATGTACAGCGTTCAACGACATGTATTTAATTTTAACTTGATATGTGAGTTCTCGTAACCAGTGTCTACTAAAGGATACAAAATATCGCTATTGATATTCAGTAGAAAAGGTCAAATAAGTTACGAGTGAGAGGTTTGAAAAAGATAAAGAAATATCTTAGTGCTGATTGATAAACGATGTGCTACAGTAATCATAAGTTGCGTTTATTAACATCTATTGACAAAAAAAATAACGGTGTTTTTATATAAATGGTAAAAAACTTGACTAACAAAAATCTAAGCGAACTTATTAAAGCAAAGGTAAATCTCAAGTCATGATCAGTAACAAATAGCATTCAATTAATCTTATTTCTTTCAAATATTCAGCTTCCCAAATAATTTCTCTTTATCGCCTCAGTCAAAATATGAAAGCTTTCTAGAGTCTTTACTTTTTCCTCACTAATTTAAAAAATAAGTCTACAAGCGTTCGTTTGTAGTAACATCGCATTCATTAGAGTACTTTACTATCTAGCCTATTATGTTATAAGCTCACTGTAATACGTATTGGTCTTTAGGCTTGTGATCTCAGTTTTCTCATTGGTCGGTACATCGGATTTAGTTGAAATGTTTGTTAATAACGGCGATAAATAATGCTTCGATCTTAATATTAATTGTACACAATATATCAAGATTTCTTCACTATATTTCATGTCCACATGAGTGAATATAAGGAGAAGTGTTCTTAAAATTCTATGTGCCTTCAAATATTCTTCGTATACGTTCAGGTTGATGCTTACCAGTGGTCTTTCCTGGCGACACGTAATGTTGACAGTAAAAAGAGTAAATTCATGAAACTAGATGTTTATGTAGACGTAACATCACCTTTAGTTTAGTAGTAGGTTCATGATAAGTTTTGCTAATTGAACGCTATATTCAGTTCCTAAGCTATTCTCGTAGCCCCCAAGCTAGAACTACACAGCGACCTGAACACGAGAGAAAAGGCGCCAAATATGCGAGAAGCACTTTACTCCAAAAGTTCGTTTTAGTACAGAAAATACAGGGTTTTTGTCGTATTTTAGATGTCCTTGGGTTTCCCGAAATTTCTGGAATGCTACTAAACATAGTAGCAGTGTAGTAATCAGCCAATCAGAAACCCTTTATGTGACTTTTCACTTTCTTGATGTTTCTGGCTAAATTTCTAGTGAACACTGATTGGATAAAATGCTTCTTAGTGTTTGCTGAGCCTTTCTTGGGATTCGCGAGAAGTTTTCTGGATCACCCCAACAGTTCACAATTCGTAGGAGTAGTTTTTGGCAAAAATTACTTAGTGATTAGTAATACTCGTAGCCGTGCCTTATAAGTTTCTTTACTAGTTTTCCTAAATAATAGGCTTCTTATTTTGCTTGGAACAGCTAAATGAATTCATTGTTCCTAAAAGGAATGGGATGCTTCAAAGTCTAGAGCATGAATTTTTGAGTAGTTCGAAACATCGTTCCATGACAATTGCGAATGGAGGTTACCAAAAACAAATAGTAAACAGTAATTTATTGACCGTAAATAGAAAATTTATGTATTGATCTATGATTGTTCGCTTAAATAAATACACCCATTAGTTTGATAAACTTACACTTTATTTGGTTAGAATATAGTATTTACTTAATAACCTACTTTAAATCATTTGTTTAGACATGAGTATATACATAAGTCATAACTTACATTATCAATCTGAAGTGATAATCCATTGAGAAATGAATGTCATCCCATGAAAATACCAGTTCAAATCTGCTAATACCAGAAGTTCTCTACATGTGTTCTTTAAAAAATTTGCTTAGCTTTTGGTCTGATTCATGAGATTTATTTTCTCACCAAGTAAATAGAAACGACAGTTTGATTAAGTTGCAACATAACTTGATAATTCTACACACAACGACAATTTCATAAACTGGGATAGAATGTTTGGTGTAATCCAAACATACTTATTTGGTTAGGAAGAATTTTCCCATTGAAAATTCAAAACAAATATAGCCTACAAATATATTATACCTTACGATAAAAGTAATATAAGCGAATTGTGTAATCGACAAAAATTTAGTTGAAATTCGATAAAATCACTACAAATTTGATGGATACAAATAATAATTGTATTACAATTTCACTTTTAGCTCACACTCCGAATAGATATTAAAGAAATATTAGCCGGATCTAGAAAAGCTAACAGTAAGAGTTTAATGCAGCGACTAGATGGCTTGATTTCTCAACTGCAATTGTCAACTGAGTCCTTATGGCTGCCTGAAAGTACGGATTATGCAAGAATATAAAGTATATTGTAAAAATATAGAGTTGCTTGAAACACACAGTGGTTATCCATTTTTAATAAATACTTGATCTACAAAAAGACGAGTGATCGTAAAGAATATTTACCCTGACATAAGTTACTTATGATATAACGTATCGTCTAAAAACTTCTGGAATCTAATACAATAACATAAATTAATTATTGGATTAGCATATCAGTGCCCATCGAAAACGATACACCCTTTTGATTCTTATGTTATTTATTTTGAATTCCCTATTACCGTTTAAGACTATGATTGATCAATCTCTTTTGGAATGTGTGCATTCCATACGGTTCGCTTCTATATTTCCAGTAATGTAACGCGTGTCCTGCATTCCACTGCTAGTCAACATCAATCTCTGCCTAAAAAGATATACCTTTTGTTTTTCTAAATCTTCCAAAGAAATTTTAGAAGAGTTTTCTGGATTCATTACTTTGTAATTTGCCATCAAGACAGAACAAAGTCAATCAATTCGAATACGCCCTTATGAAAACAGTCCAGGTTAATAGGCCAATAACGTCATTCAAGAAGAATGAATAAACTGAATGAGCTAGAATAACTCATGTGGGCTTATGTTTTAGGTTGTTATAAGAATTCGGGAAACTCATCTACTCTTTAGTAGGAATATGGTTGATGTGTGCTTAAATAGTTTTATAGATTTTCTAGAATTCGGAAGCATTTTTCATAATAAACTAATATTCATTGGTTGCAATACTACATAATAATTTGCCTAATAAATGGATGGCATTAATTAATCTGTATAACGAACGAACATAGTTTTAACTTTGTGACATGTGTTCTATTAAAAATTGTATTTATTATCATTTAGATTATAATTAGTTCAAATTGCAATGTAATTATATTACTATTATAAAGTCGGAAATGTCACAAGCTATAAGTATATTTATGTCAAGAGCTATCATAACACAACTGACAATTATCTCATCATTCTTTTGCTTAAAATATTCCTACCTCAACAATGCATTATTCTAATGCCTGATAGATACATTTGTTATTATTATGAATATGGAAATATTAATTGTTGAAGGGATAAGAGAAAGTGTTTAAAAATATAAAGGTTTGTAATAAGAAGTTCAAAGTAGAATAAGTTTAATCGAATACAAAATATACAACAGTAACTTAGTCAGTTGCTAAACAGTAACCAATGTTCAATTGTTTATCTTTGATATGTTAGAAAAGAATTAAGCTTAACAGTCAAGCCTTAATTTGTTGGCCGGTGAACAACTAACATAACTGAGTTTCTCTAATTCCTTGTATAATCTAATCTTGTCTATTTCCGTGTTAATATTTTTCATATATGAATGTATTGTAGTCATTAAATGATCTATTCTTGACTTTAATCTCGGTCAACTCAAGAGCTTGGGTCAATAATTCGGTTTCTCTAGGATGTTTCACTTAGTCTAATATCACCATTGTAAATCATCAGTTAATTAGACAACGTTTCATAACAAGCCTACAGTAATAATAGCATTTAAATGGTGACACTGTTTTCCGTGAGCCACAAACCAAAAGGTGTGATCATCACTAACGACTATAATTAATTCTTTGAAAATATCATATGTGTGGATGAGGTTACAAGCTCTCTATATATGAGCATTTTTATAATTGTAATACTTATGGACATAGT